CGGTTTGGACCTCAGATGTAGAAGAACTAGACAAAACCCTTATATCTGAAAAATCTTTAGAATACTATATGAATTTCTCATCCCAGAGAAGTTCAACATTTGCCCTCTTCTAGAGCAACTGTAAGCCCTATGATTAAAGTCTACTTCATACACCTTTACTTCAGCTAATCTGCTAAGTATATTTTAGCATCCCACATCAGTTTAGGTTTAGTTTCTTGCACCTTCATTCAAGATAGGCTGATTTATCTATTGCAAATTGGTTTTAAGATGGATGCCCAACATGGTCTTAGAGGCAATGCTTTTTGTTCCCTTGTTGTTTATTCATGTTTGTTGTCCCACTTTTTCCTATTTGTTTGTTTTCCTTGTTCTAAAAGTGTTAAGTGGTGCTATCTCGCGTTAGTTTGTTTCAGATTTATTCTGCCCTTATATTTAAGCCAGGCCTCACCAACTATTTGCCCATTTATTTTAGAGATAATTATACATCTAGTACCCAAAATATAGCGAAATGTAAATATTGGTACCTTAAGTGCAAACTTTCAAAAAATGTACCACGTAACCCAAACACTAAGACAATCAACCCCCACCTACGTGGCTTATGACCAATATAATGACGTCAAGCATACACCACATGTTAACCAAAAAATGCTAAATATTTTGTGAAAAATCCAAACGGAAGCCACGTTGCACTCAACAATTGGTTGGGCTTGGAAGGAATATTTACCGTTCATGCAAAAAAAAAAAAAACATTTTATTGTTTAATTGGAATTGAAAAGGATGTTGATGGTTCCATGTGATGTACACATGACGTGATAATATTGGTTAGACACCACATGGTGACTGGGTTAATGATGTTACAGTTTAGGTTAAAATGGTACAGGATTTAAAAATTCAGGATGCAAATTGTACACTGTTTTCTTCAAGTACCAATTTGTACATTTTGTCAAATTTCTGGTACTAAATGTGTGTAATTAACTCTTTATTTTACATTGGGATGCTCACAAAAATTTTGCATGACATCAAAGAATGCCCAGCCCCCATTTACTAATCCTACACTACCCTATCTAACATTGCAGCTATAACATCGTTCTTTTATCTGATGAGAAAGAAACACAAATCATTCATGTTGCCTTACCCACATAAAAACACTATTACCTGTGCATCAGTGCCTCCAGCACCAGCAGTTATAGAGATGACTGCCCCTTCCTTATCATAGGGACCAGAAAGAAGTTGAGTCAACTCAAATCGGTCCAATGCCTTATTGAGTTCTTTGATGACACTGACGGCCTCTTCCAGAAGTGCAGCATCTATGGAGTCCATCTCCTCCGTTAGCTTAACTATAGTTTCTGCATCTTCAACCTGCATCCAGCAAATGACATACAGCTCACTATATTAAGAAGGCATGCTAAGGAAGTAGTATTTTCCAAGAGTATAGCACATTTTCCATCAAAATCAGTTTCTTAGTTCAAAAGTAAAGTATAATTTTCAACAATCATGGATCTATACAAGTCATCCCATCAAAAGGATCCTAATATCACTCTGAATGACCAAACACAACTCTTGCATCTTCTTGTAAAAAAGGCCACTGCTGAATTAAATCTCTTACAGCCACTGAACTCAATAAACTATCCTACACCAATATCTCCATGCTCAATTGCATAATCTCACACGCATAATTCACTATGAAAGCATGTTAAATTCTCTTATCCGGATTTCATGCCTGGGCATTTTCAATTTCATCAACCCTAATTTAATAGTCTTCCTTATGAAGAGATATCATATTAGATAAACATATGACCCAAAGCAACAAATATAGGACAGTTGGGAGACCTATAATAAGGGAATTCAGATCTTTCAGAAAAAAAATAAATAAGGGAACTCAGTAGATGGTATTCTTCACCAGCTCGTTGATGAGACTCCTCAAAAGCAAAGTTTTTTTTTTTTTTTTTTTTGAAAGGGAAAGTATTATTATTTTGACTCCTTTCATAGAAAAACCTAACAACTTGGAGAAAGGTTCAAGCATTGACAAGCAGAGTTAACCTGAACAAAAAACTAAAAGCAGAGTGCTTTAGAAGCATAAACCAAACAAGTCAAGTCAAGTCCATTGTGATAAACTATGCTTGAAGCACATGCTAATAGTACTGAAAGAGAATGGCACAAATTACTGTATTTTTCTTAACAAGAAATTCAATACCTTGGTTTTAAACTCATTGAGCAAATTTATCTTATCTTTGACATCAGTCAGTGCCAAAAGAGTTTCTTGAGCTTTGGCACGATCATCCCAAAAGGAGCTATCAGCTGCTTTTGATTCTAAATCTGCAAGTTCCTTTTCTAGTAGCTGCAGACCAGTCGATGCTATAATCTCCTCAACACGCTCTGAGGCAGTTTCAACATCCTTCCTTAGAGCATAAAAATCTGTCAGAAAACACCAAGAGCTTAGAGCACTCAGCAATCTGTGAATCCCACTTGTATCGCATCAAGGGGCATAAGCAGGAGGTTCTGGTTGGAGATGTAAAAGGCTAATCAACCCACTCAGTTGTATCAGAAATTTATTTTTCTCTGGTAGACAAGTAAATTTTTTTCTTTAATTTGACTTATTCTTTAAGGTTTAGTCTTCCAAACTCTCAAACAATTCATCCTTAGTTGTTCAACAATCTAACTACAACAATGTCTTTATTTGTTAAAAACTAAACAATTGAGATACGGTGCTTTAAATAAAAATATTGTTTGGGCTACAAAAACCCAAGTATTCAAACTAAATTATGAGTATTTGCAACGAACACTCAAACAAAATCATGAAAGGCATCCATCATCTCGAAAATACTGGATCAGGATTGTCGCTGAAAAGAAAGTGGCGCAGAAATAGCAAGTTGAAAGCTAAAATGTACAAGACAGCATGCAATTGTAGCCCTAAAAGGATAAATGTTGCAGATTAATCCTAAGCCAGCAAAACTTACCTGAGCTATTTAGATAGTTTCACCCAATTTTGATGAAGGGAAAGGGTTAAGAAATCAAAGTTTAACAGAAAAAGCCAAAGATTATGTAATAGGTGAATCTAAATATTTAAATTGGAACTGACAAATTTTTTAGTTTGAGATTCCTGGGCTAATCAGCTCTTAGAGTCAGTTTGAAATAGCATACTCTAAAGCTTTAGCTGATTAGCTTATTCTGTCTCCTAATGGATTTCGTTAAGGCACAAATTCCAACATCACGATATAAGAAGGAGGCCTAGAGCCTTTAGCATTTGCAAAATGATGATATTACCATTGGCCATCAGAATGGCTCTCTTGAACCTCACCTACAAAATCAAGAACTTTATTTGCATTAAAACCTACTACTTCAAAGCAGTGATAATGACCATAAAACCAAGGAAGCATTCCCACAGCTTCACACCCAGTATATGTTCAATTCACAAAATAAAATAATAAATGAGCATACTCAAACTGATTCACATTCCAAATTCAGTAACAGAACCGGTCCAATTTAAGTAAAAAATGATAATTACTGTTTTCTGACACATGAGCTGTAATGATGCCAATATCATACACCATTTTACAGACACCAATTATTTTAGCTTAAATATATGAACTGGAAATTAGTGAGTTAAGCATACCTTGCATTACCCATTCTCTTGTATTGGTGTCTACTCCCTCAGTCAATTGGCTCTCCGGGGTCGCATATATAACTGAGTCAATTCAGAAGAAAAAGAAGTTAAAAAGAAAACATGTAAGCTAAATATCAAAGTCACACCGTAGAAATGCTTTAACATAAAAAGTAAGATTAACAAGGCAGCATCCTCAATTAAATATACTTTGTTTTCATCGGAGAAAGTTACAACTTTAGAGGGTATCCTTTATAAAAAGTTTAAGATACAAACTCAACCATAGTAAATTTCAAAAGGGCCAAAACAAGAAAAAAAAGAAAAAACAATAACGTTTCAAAAGAATTTTAAAGACTCCAAACATACAGCATGGATGACATGAAACCCACAAGATTTTCTCAGCAGAAATTCCAAGAAACATATAGGAAACTCAATGTTTAAGGCCTAAGGAGAAAAACCCGTTATAGAAAAGAAAAAAAAAAGCAGTTAGAATTAACTTACTAGAAGAATTGTAAGGAACCATTAGCAGACAATATGAATGAAATAAACCCACAAATTTTCCTAAGCAGAACTTGAAGAAACGTATTGAAACCTCAACATTTTACAGCCAAACGAGAAGAAAAAAGAAAAAGGTGTTGGAATTGACTTACCAGAAGAAGTGAAACGGGAAGGGGCAGAGAGAATTGCAGAGAAAGAAAAAGAAGTGGTAGTGAGAAGAGGAGCAAGTGAGAACAAAACTGGAACTTTGTTAATGCTAGCGTAAGAAGAAAAAGAGGATGGTCTGGGTGGTTTAACTATGGTGGTTAAGCTTATCAGAGGCTTTAAAACGGCTTTCATTTCGGCTGTGGAGGAAATTGGGGATTACCACACAAACAAAATAGCTTCAGTTTCTTAGTTTGTTTTGGAATCTCAATCTCAGTATTTCTACTTTTTATTCTGACCCACAAAACAAAAGTCATGGAATTGGAAATGGATAGAGAAAGAGAGAGAGAGAGAAGAACAGGGCAAAGTAGTCTGACAAGATTACCCGCCACCCAGTGTCAAATGTTGTCAGCACTTTCCATGTCAACAGCCACCTCAATGCCATGTCAATCCAACATTGCCATTGTCATGCCATGTCACTCCAGAGGTTAATTCTAAAATTTTTTATTATTTATTATTTTACAATTCAATTTATTATTTTATTTGTACTAAAATACAATTTTATAATTTTATTTATTTAAAATAATTAATTCATAAAAGTTAGTAAATTACTATTTATTATTTTATCCAAATTGGACTGCAACCTGTATAATTTATCCATTTTTAAAAGAATATTCATGAGTTAGTAAATTATCATTTACTAAAATTAAAGAATTTAAATTTATATTTTATTATAGATTATCTTTACTTCGAAACTATTAATTTCAAATTTCATATTTGCTAATTTTTATCATTGATTTTTCTTAGACAGATCGCATTCGAAATTTTACATTTTTATTTAAACAAAATAATAAATTGAATATTGAGATAAAAAATATTTAACAAACACTAGATTTGTCTATGATTAATGTTAAAAGTGGGTTTGAATCTCTTCAAATTGTTAAACCAAAATATCAAATTATTTTGCCTAAGTAATGAGGAAGAATACATGATGTGAGATTAAAAAATACTTATTTAAAAAATGACACATTAATAAAGGATTTCATATGCCTATTAATATCATAAAAAAATTAATCCAAATAAAAAGACCAATTAAAAGTTTGATTATTTATATACGGTTTTTGGAAAAGAGAAATTCGAACCTAATTCTTAGAGTACTTACCAATGAGTCAAAGAATTAGGTCCGAATTTCATTTAAGCAATAGTCATAGAGGTACATATATCAATGAACATAAACTCAATCAAGTCTTCTTGGCAGACAAAATCTACCCAAATTTGGGCCCACCAAGGCTTGCCTTTAGGGACTTCAAAACTTCTTTGCAAGCCAGTTTTTTGGCCATCTTCTTATTAGAAGCTGATGATGTGTGCTTGAATACCATGCCGTTTGCTTCAACCTCTATTGTAATGGAAGGCATACCATTGTCGTGTGAGACAGTGGCTGGTCTTTGTTCAAAATGCTCCTTCTGACACAATTCATTTAACTCTTTCACAGGGTGAACCCTTATAGTTTCGGGAGTAATCAGGGGCTCCAATAGTGGCCTTATACTCTGGAATACTGTGTGCTTGTTGTACCCAGAATCAACAAATATAGCCCCAGCAAGTGACTCTATTATATCAGCAAGTACCTGATAAGAAAATAATGAAAAATATTTAGATAAATGCCAGAAACATTTTTGAAATAATTTACAGCATGTGATTTTATGTACAAAGTCTGCAATAATGACAAAACAACGCTTTTAAGAACCCATAATCCTGTGTTCTTCAGCCAACAAAGATGAAAATATACATAGGTTAACTCTTAGAAGTAAATACATTATCAGGTATTCTTTCTAGAAAGCTTATTGTAATTCTCTAGCAAAATTGTATTATAGTAAGATTCCCACAAAGAACAAAAATCTCAAAAGCCAATCCAAGATCAACCCTGTAGCTCTCCTGCAAAACTTGTACCATATGTTCCAACTCATGTTAACTAAATCAACTTTTACCTTGCTTTCCAAGCGCAATTATTGTTATTAGCAAAAATTTTCATCTGAAGTTGTAGCATAAACAGGTTGCTATTATAATTGATAATACTCCTCTATGTAGAATTAAACTCATTGTTACAGTGCATAAAAAAGATACCACAAAACAGACAATCAGCATTGCTATGTAAATACATAAGTCAAGAGTGGTAAACATCGAATAACAGACCTTGGGGAAAGACTTCTCACATTCCCACCCGAAAGTATATTTCATTGATAATTCCTTAGAACTTTCAACAGTTTCTGCTATTTCCTTGTGAAGCTTGTGTGAAGCGTGGAGAATGTACTTATGCAATCCAGCCTTCACAGCTGAGAGTGCATAACAATCATTGTTCACAGAAGCTGAACGCAGATCAGTTAACAATTCTGGTGACATCCCGGGATATTGGCTGTAAAGATGCAGAGTAATAAGATAATCCAAAACAGAGTCCCCTAGAAATTCCATCCGCTGCACAGAAAAAAAAAAATTATAGTTAAGTTAAACCCAACAGAGAACAGAACTTGCTATGTAGAACCATAAATCATTAAGATACAGAATAGTGAAACATCATACCATTCATATGTCATTCGTATAATAAAAGCACAGTGGTTTAACAGAATTTCAAAAGCACAGTAGCTTAGCAGAATTATCAAAAGCACAGTAGTTTAGTAGAATTATCTCCAGACTAACCTGATAACATTCTGGAATTTCAGCAAGCATGTAAGAACCATGTGTTAGTGCTTCCACCAACAGAGAAGGGTCTTGGAATGAGTAGTTGAGTAAGGACTCTAAAACCCGGACATTAACAAGCTTCTCCGCATGCACTTTGAATTGCCTTTGATATGGTATATTTGTAAAGTCAACATTTATACCAATCCAATTCAAAAATAATACTCCAGCTGCTTCACCTCCAACACTAAGATATGCACCAATCAGTGCCTCAACAACATCAGCAACCTTCTTATTCTTTAACTTTCTTCTTCCACTAACATATATTTTCCTTGTATTACACAGTGTCTCTTCATTTAATGCATAACTTCCAGAATTATAACCAGGAATTATCCAACTTTTGACATCAAAAGGCTCATTACGGATAAATCCCTGCAGTTTGAGGAATTTTGAAAAGCATATCATAGATTTGAAGAGATTCGCTAGCCACTTAAAAATAATAGTAACCAAGAAACAAAATGTATTGACTGTAACATTCTAATTAAAACTCAAAATCTGATGGCACTGCAGAACTCTAAAATAGATGCCAGCTTAAATGAATAGCAAAAAGAAATTTTACCGGAAGTTTCTTGTCACATCCTAGCATACAAAGAGCTGTATTTGAAATAATTTTTTCCTTCCTAATACTAAGAAGGCCTTCATGTTGATTTTGATGTGTTTTAAATAGCTGTTGGCACACAGCATACTTGAGGAAAGAGTCGCCAAGAGTCTCTAGTGATTCCAAATGAAAATTTTCTTGACACTTTTTGGTGGTAATTGCCTCCAAAACCTACCAAGCATAGTTGCCAAGGTGAAGCAAAGAGTTAGACAACATATAGAAAGCTGCACTTAAGCTGGCATATCACAAGGATCAAAATTCCATCATAGGAAATTACTTCCAAGTAACATAAAAAATTTCTTATAATAATGGTTCAACCATGTGTAAGTCTTTCTTCTTTTGCTTGTGAAAGAACAAAGACTGCTTCATTTAGACTTAAAATCTTCTATACATACTAAGTATACTGTTCTATTTGTGGAGGTAATTCCATATATATTGACTAATTAACTCAAATTTAGATGCTGAATTTCAGATTATTCATAGTCGCATAGAAATGGACGATGACAAATTATCTGTCCTGAACTACTGAAATAAGCAGAAAATTAAATATAAAAATAAGATATCAATCCTCAGTCGTGTCTGAGAATCCAGATATTTTGTATTTGTTTTTTAATGAAGAAACTACCTACTGATTGATACATCACTATATAATTTTAAGATGTTCTCAATAAATTGTGTAAAGTACAAAACATATGATAGTAATAAAAAGAATTCAGAAGCAAACTAGCGCACCTTCATAGTTGGAATGGCAACATTTTGCACACAATGATCCTGTTGCATCTTTTTCAAGTTGGTAGCAAGAAGCAACGACTCAAGTCGATACATGATTGATGGAATAAATGTGAATGAATAAAACGTGCTAATTGATATGGGAGACATAATGACATTACAAAGCTCAGGAGGCAATTCTACAAATGCATTACTTGATTCTGCAACACAAATAAAACAAAAAATAAAATTAAAATAACCCGAACCATTATGAGGTAAATGATAAAAAGAAATTAGATGAAAAGTGCACTCTTTTTTACCAATTGAACATGTCAAAAGACTAAACCAATTATGTACCGTACATTTTGTACAACCATCTCACCTTTCTTTCCAGCAAAACCTCCAACATAAAACTTATTCCTAACAGTCGAATTCAATTGCTTTACAGTGTCAAGATTCAAAAATAATCTACAGCTATCTTGCTAATATCTAGAAGACAACATACCTTTCTCTTTCTGTCTTTTGCACCTGTGAAGGTAATTGTGCACAGGGAAAACATGTCGCGCATCAAGAAAAGATACTTGACTAAAACATAATTGGATACCATGCCTGCAATGTCATGAGAGAATCGACTTACTCACAAGGAACATAAGTATAACATATTCCACATTAATTCTTAAAAAAAATACTACAAAACATGCTCACCGAAGTTCATAATACTCCATGTAGGTCATTACACTTCCATCCCTCAGCTTCAAAAGTGAATTTGCAGTTAAATTTTTTAAAAAACCTTTGACAATATAGGCATGACTATTGTGAGGAGTACAGACCAACGAATTTTCAATCATGCAAGCACATAGAAGACCACTTTTGGTCTGTATCATACCAGCATTACAGCTCACATGATCCTTCCAAACATTTTCATAAGAAAATAAGACGGAACATACTGATGGCCAATCAATCACAGGTTTCTGGCCCAAGTAAGTCGATGGGAGGAGGAGATAATCAACATCAGAATTATTCCCTGACCTAGGGTCGCCTAACACCTCTGTTAATTTTTCCACTTTATGATTTATAAGAACTCTGAAAACAGCAATCTGAAACCTTGTACTCAAGATAACCTGCCAAGATGATATGGTGCAAAGAGGGGAAAAATGTTAAATATGAACGCATTACTGTATTTTCTATTATTACCACCTGACAACAGTAATAAAATTAAAACATTCAAATCAGATATAGTACCTGGCTAGGATCAAGACGTATCAGTCCAACATATTTCAAGTTAACTGTCAAAAAACCCCTATCAACTTCTAA